AGTTGAACAGGGAGATACTGCCATGTATTTTCAGTGGGTTTTTGCAGATTTCCTGGGGGACTTCAGTATTCTAGCTGCCTGTTGCTCTTGAATGAAAGGTCGTGTGCCATCTGGGAAATAGATTAGTATCTACAGTTGAATGAGATCATACCTTCTTGAAGGCACAAAACAACTTGGAGATGTGTATCGGTCTTGATATGGTAATTTGCATAATGTGAAACTTAATCCTGTAAAATGCTGTGCCCTTGGAATCAAGGATGTTCAAGCCAAACATCCAAGCAAACCCTGGGTGTCTTTCAGTGAAAGGTGTCTCTGTGAAAAGGGATTTTCATGAAAAGTGCATTTTTAAAACTCCTTTAGCCTCTGAATATACATCCTTACTCTTTTAACCTGTATTTAAATCCCACACTGGCCTTTCTGTATAGAGAGGGATTAACCTTTTGAAAGGGAAAGGAGAAGGGATACACAAATTTATGTGAAAGACTACCACATGCACAAAGCCCCAATAATGTAAGAAGCAGTGCCTATATCAGTATTAGTAAAGTTTACAGAAGAGTATTTTCCAGTAAAAAATGCTATTTTCCAAAGTGGAGCTATTTATTGCAAGTTGTGTCCAGATTACTGAGATGCCTCTGGTGTTAACTTTAACATAGAACTTGTTCTTTCAATGTAATGTTGTCTCTTCCTATCTCTTACACTTCTCTTTAAATACGTAATTCAGAATATTGGGGGAGAGGCTGGACAGAATCACATAACAAATTAATCCTCACCCAGATTCCCTCATGTTGTTGCATGTGACAAACTGTACAGCTGAGGGTTGTGGTGCAAATCTGCTAACATAATTTTTTAGAGGTGCAATCCTCAGATAGTGAACAAGAGTCAATCTTGTTTCAGTTGTTTACCTGTTCCCTTCTTTCTGTTGGATCAGGGCTACTCTGCTTACCTTGAGGGAGCAGTCAAAAACTTCAGTCTTATATTGATCTACATTTTGCAGAATACAGATCAAAAGAAATTGTTGTAATCATCTGTAACTACGCTGATAGGTGGTTTCCATACATGGAAAGAGGAGATAACTGCACTCCAGTTACAGCAGGTTTAACTTGCTAGAGATAAAGCCTTAATGTAAAGTGAGATTCTGCAAGTAACAACACTCTGGCAGGGCAAATGACTTAAGGTGCTTCTTGAACACTATATCACATGTATCCAAGAGACATTTTCAACATAATCTGCATCAATCATGAGAGGGGGGTGCTCGATTATTTGTAGGGGAAAAAAGTCCCTCCTTCTCTCTTCACGAACTGTTCCTTTGGAAAAATATGGCTAAAATGAAAGGTCATTCAGAGATCCTAGAGAAAAGTTTGCATCTGTTCTCATGTGAAGAACGTGCCATAACTGTTGTCCTGCTGGAGACAAATCACAAAGTGTTTTGTATACCTAAGGGCTGGTAAAGACAGAGACGAAGTCTTCTTTATAAAGGCTTTTTTGAGAGGCAGAGTATTAACTTACAGAAATAAGGTGCAGGCTGATCTGGCATGGACACAGCAGGACACGATCAGTTTTAGCTCTAAGATCTAGAGTGGAACTCCTCAGGGAGTCCACTTGCTGACCAGTGAACCAGCAGCTTCACATACGTTTATATTATAACTATTTATTTGCAAATGTTGGCACCAGTAGCTTCACATAATTATAACTATTTATTTGCAAATGTTGGCTCAGTAGAGCCCAGGGAAAGCCTCTATCAGTATTCACACCTATCCCACATGGTTGAGAATCATGCCTCAGTTTTTTAAAGACTCCCAGCTTCACTTGTCTGCTGTGAGGGAAGAGACCTGAGGTTTTATACCTACAGATTTAGATTACTGCACTGACTGCAAAGGCAGCACCCTTGCCAGAACAGATGCCCTCAAGACTGGCTCTTCTATTGCTCTGAAATGTAGTTAACCCTGAAAGTGTGTGGAGCAAGGATGACTTGCAGTGGCTGGGAATCAAGGGTGCTGGCTTGTCTTGGGGGAGATTCTCCGTAGAGTCTTTCTTCAAGGGATTCTGTGCACGGATTACAAGAGTAGTCACATTTGAAAATTGATTGCTGGAAAGATTGTGACACCTGGAAGGATATGCCAATTTGTTTTGCCCCATGCCTCTATGTCTTTAGCCAGAGCATGCAGTAGTCATCAAAAATTAAAGCAAGGAGTCCCCATATGGCCTCCCTGGCCATCACCACAGGGTGATCTCTATTCCTTCCCCAACTAAGATCCAGTCAGTTGCCATTCCAAGAAAGATTACAAGCTATTTCTGGGAGAAGGAAAGTAGAGAGCTGCTTAGCAAAAGCTGTGGTTGTGTGGCTGCTCACCTTGGATTTCATCTTTTTTCTAATTGGTCTGGAAGACCTGTTACAGCCCCACTTGGACCATAGAAATGTAGCTAACAGCAGCCTCCCTCTTTCATGTTGTTCTTCACCTCTCCTATCAACGCAGTTTCCACCTTTAAGAGAGCCCTGCCAGACTTCTGCTGTGATTAGATTCTCCTGCACATCACTGAAGTGACTGCAGGCTGGCTCTCTCCATCATTGATTCAATCTCACCTCTTGCCAAACTGGCTTCTGCAGCCAAGGAACAGGAACTGCATAGACAGTATTATTCCTGGCAGGAGGAACATCATCGCTGTGGAAAAGGACGTGCAAGAGAATCACAAAGGTGCTATTTAGAAACATAACTTGTGAAATTCTGACAGGGGCTGGATGACGCGCTTGCTAAGGTACTCAAAATAATGAAGTGCTGAATTTACAGGTGTACAGTGCTTAGAATTAGAGACTAATACAGGTAAGAAGGGACCTCAGGAGATCATCTGATCTAGCCCTGCTCTACAAGTGTGGCCAACCTCAAAGTTACATTAAGTTGCTGAGGGCTTAGGGAAACCTAAGGGAAGATAATGAAAAAGGCTAGGCTTGAGGCAGGTTATGATTAAGAAACTTTCATAATATACATCATCCAGTTTCAAATTCAGGTTAAGTGGGACTGTAGGAACAACTATCGCCTTGGAGCAGCTCAGTTACCGTAGATCTCATATGCATTCAACAAGCCGTGCCTGTCTCCTCCTACTGCATAATATTTGTAAAATTACTCCATCAAACCAAAGCCCTTTATAAACAATTTATCACGCATCCTGGGAACAAAAAGGTTTCTGGACGACCTACTTGAGTTACTGCTGAAGTTTTTAGGGTAAGTGCTGTATTTGGGGGTTGGGTTTTTTAGGCATACAGAGTTTCCATTGCTTTTGTACTTTTGCAGTGGTTTTGGACATTTGGTGATTTTCAAGGGAAGTACAATGCAGATCATTTGCATCCAACAAAAGACAAACACATGTAAACACGTGTCAAGGGAAAATGTACTTACAGTAGCGTGGTCTCTGTCTGCATACAATGCTTTCAGAAGAGGTCCATAAGCACTCTTCCTACCGCACAGTGGCACGACAACGTGTGTTTTACTCATTGTTCAGAGGTATATTGCATATTTCTTCCCCCAGCTTTTACAAGCCAAAAATCAAATTAGAATCTGGTTTCAGACTGTGTTGAATTAATCTGAAGCTACAAAACAAAGAGACCGCTCGGAGAAACAGCATATGGGTAAGCAAATGGGATTTCCAAGCCCATGCAGGTTTTTTTGGCTAGTACATATTAAAATGATAAACAGCAGTCAGCATTAAAAGAAAATGCTTTATAAGAGCAGCAACTCGTGCTTTCAACAGTTTTAGGCAATTGAAAAAGAATTAAGAAGGAGACTAATTTTTAGGATGCACCTATAATTATCACAAGAGAATTTGCAGGGTCCATCAGTAATCCATCACAAAAATTTATTTTGTTAATTACAAAAAGTTTGCTATGCCCTGGGCAAGATCTATATTTGGTTTAGAAAGAATACTTTGGTATAAAGTCAGAAAATGTTCATCAATTTTGGTACTTGACATTCAGAGTTTAAAGCCTCCTGCTAAATCAGTACTGCAAGTTGCAAGTATTTCTTTTTCTTCAGCACGGTAAAGCTTCCGCCTTCCAGCACCCAGGTTGTGTAGAAAAATCACTTTACTTATCTGAACCCAGTTCCCATCCACAGGAAATGCAGATCTGCAGACCATTTTCCAAGTGTTGGAAGGCTGTACTATTTCCTAGTAAGGCTAGAAGTAGAAAACCTGAAGTATGACAAAATAATTCTCAAGCAAAACCAGCTTCATTTAAAAATAAATCTTGAGATACTTACAGTATTCTCAAGCAGAAATACACCATCTGATTCATGTGAGACAGACATGGCTCATTGCTTTTGGTTCACTGTTCACAGAAGAGAACGAACACTACCCTCCAGCGTTTTTGAAACATCACACTTGACCAGTAGGGCTTTCTCTTTCTGAAGTTTAGAAAGCACTTTCTGAGATGTGCCTTGTCTCTGAATGAACCGGCGATACCCTGTCAGCACTGCTGTCCCCCTGCCCCAGCACCTTAAGGGAAAAAGATTGTTGTTCACTCCAGCTTAACCATCATTAACAATCAGATGTTCTTCTCAGAGCAGGAGCTCTGTACTTATTCAAAAATAGCCCTTTCCAGATAGGCCAGGTTAGATGTAGAAAATAACTCATTATTATTGGCCCACCAAAGGGTCAATCCTTTAAATAACTGTACACATCTTACAAACATTTCAATGGAAGAGCACATCCATTTGTTATTGTGAATACCACACGATTATGCAATGTTCTCCGTGACCTTGAATCTCATCAAGTGTTCAAGTCTCTCCTGGAAGCAAGTGCTGAACAGTCAGGCTAATGGAATACTTAAAAGCCCTATTAAGAAAAAAAACAAAACAGAAGGGAGGATAAGCACTTTCCCTCATCTTCTTCTGCTGCCATCCTGCTGGAATCTCCATCCTTTCAGTCTCGTCTCATCTTTTCTTGTTAGCAACTCTTCTCCAAAACACCCTATAGTTCAGTTCAGAGGCTTTTTGCCTCCCTTTCTGGTTTCATGTCTTCTTACTGCTCAGTTTCTGTCTGTGCAGGTGGGACTCAATCTCTTGCTTGAAAACAAGCATCCCCAGCTGGCCATGAGAACCCTCGTTCATGGCCTTGGACTGCATGCACATTTTGTACTGCTCTGGGGTCAGCTCGTCCACACATTGCTTTTCATGCCACAGGTGGAAGAGACCCCTGACGGGCGTTCGGATCACGATGAGGTTGCTGTGAAGGTACTTGCGGTACAGATGTACATCTTCACCACCCCAGCCTTTAATGTCCAGATCAAAGCCACCTGACACAAACAAAATCCAAAATAAAACTAGAAATATATACTAGCAAACTCTATGCTATTAATTTCACTACAGCTGTTCTCTGGCTCTAGTCAGCCCTTTAAAACAGCCATGCTTTCTGCCAACATCAAAGCGTCCGCATTTCTTCACTTCAAATCTTTCACAGTCAGACAAAGTTGCTTTACTTGTACTGAGCAGTGCTTCGATTCTGGTAACCTCTATGGCACCTAGGAATAGTCTGAACATCTAACCAGAGCACTGCTGCAAATTAAGAGGCACAGACACACTGGCCAAGGAAAGGGAAGCTGATGACAATTTTCTATGTTTCAGTAAAAAGGCACAGGTATTGGAATTTACTTTTCTTACCTATGTTGATAAAATCAGATCTGTACTGGCAAGTCATCCCAAAACCAAAGTCTCTCCAAAATCCAGTTTCTTTTTTAATAACCTGCATGGAGGGAAAGGAGTGTTTAGATGGGAGCAGAAATGCTTTAAGTGTGAGCAGCAGTCAAGTCCCTGAATGTGGTCAGAAATAGGAGCAACTGCCCTTTTATTCTTCCCCACATAAATCCATGGCTGAGCCTGAACCAGTTTTTGTAGATACTTGTTGCATACTTCTGCCCCCCAAAAATAGCCATGCCATTAGCTATCACAGATAAACCCCCTGATCCGGAATGATCAGGTTTCGTTCCACTCCTGATGTTGTAGACCAAGTGGAGCTATATCATGTCACTCTCTGGAGTTTCCTTCTTCGCAGGCAAAACATCCTCCAAAATCATTAGTTTCTGTGGGATTCAAATCTGACGTAAGAAACAGACTGGTAAACCGGGGAAGCCAGACTCTGCTGTAGAGCAGATGGTGACATCTGGATTGTGGACCACAAGAATTCAGGAACAAAATAGTGGTTCTAATCTTATCGCACAACTGACAGCTATTTGATTACCTTAATTTTGATAAAAATTAGGAAAGTGGTAAGAACAGTTTTCCATTACAGAACTGCTAAATCCAGCTAAAATTGAAGTCCAGATACGTTAGGTGGTAGATATCCCATAAAAGCCTTTGGAATAATGAATGTGCAGTCTACATTACTGACCATGAAAACATTATGTATTACAGGCAGAAAATCAGAGCAGTAAGAAACCACAGCTTTCACTTTCAAAAGCAGATATCCAAGTATAGATCCCTAAGGTCATCATTCATGTGTGTGAGTGACCTAACCCAAGCTGGTGAGATATCCAAGAGTTTCAAGGGACCGTGACAGGTATTTAAATCCTCTAAGCAAGTCAGCAGCATGCTCTTGAAAGTCTGGTTACAAACCTACTCCTTAGCAGCTATTTTTGACAATTTTGGCTTCATTTATGGCAAAGTTACAGAAGATGAGGAGACAGAATTTCCATTTTTGGATTTACAAATCCCAACGTTCCCTTCACCAAAAAATCCTCTTCCAAAATAGTCTCTCCAGAGTTCTCATTCATGCCTCCCCTTTTGTTCATAACCCTTGCCACTTCAATGCTGTTTTATTCATTTTACTCTTTGCGTTGCTCTCTCTTTCTTTTCTCATTTCTCTTTCCTTGAAAAAGCCAAGCCACTGCAGAAGCCAATTAAAAGGAAACAAGATTGTATCTGTCAGGTCTGCACTGTAACAAGAAATCTCCATAACGATGCCCTTACAGCAAGCTACTTCTATGCATTAGCATTATTATTTTCCATTAGTGCAAGTGGCTGCTGCACAAATCAAATTCTTTCAAGGAGTTTTGAAGGCTTTTTTTTTTTTTTTTCTCAGCAGCCTAAGTACCAGGACAGAGAAATAACACTGTCTTGTTTTAATGGCACAGATCTGGCCTCATGCCTGGGAACTAACGTGGGCTGAAAATATAAAAATCTACATAAAAATGAGATTGGCAGTACTTCTTTAAATCAAGAAGCTTTTCTGACATACGCATCACATTTTACGATTCAAATATTAGCTATAAATATTTGCACAATCCTGACAACACACTTTGTGGAATTTACTCTAGCTTAAGAACTAGACTACTTCATTACTTAAGCACAGTGCTTACAATCCTGAGGATCCCTGATGGGCACTCATCAGAGAGAGAAGGGCTAACGTGAATCCCATGGTATTATCAGAACAAGTTTCCTCTGAGAAAAAACAGTAGAAAGGGTTTTCCAGACTCTTCAGGAAAAGACTTTCTGGCTACCTGATGGATAACACAAGGAGGAGTAGACAAAAAAAAAAAAATAAATATTTTGGGTGGACTTTCCAAACTCTCATTCTTCATTTTTCTAGAGGGATTGCATGAGGTGGGGGTAGTGATGACAGAAGACCGGACTCAGCCCTCTGGTGATCTTTTTCAGCTGTGACTGCTGCGGGGCTCACAACACCCCTAATTCTTACCTAGTGAGAATACAACAGAAGCTGGGATGCTCTGTAGACAGTGCCCAGCCTGGGACAGGACGAGCCCTGATAGGTGCAGTGCCTGGCAGTGAGAGGGGCAACTGTGGCAGGACAGGACCTGACACAGGAACTGAAAGAAGCTGCATAGCTGCTTTACACTTCAATTTGAAAATTCAGCCACTTACCAGCACTAGTGGGCAGAGGACTGTGACCTGCTGACTCTGGAGAGAAGCAAGAGTGGAGGGTGTACGTAAAGGGAAAACCACCACTTCTATCACCCCTTTAGCTTCAAGACAATGCAATGCCAGAGCACAAGAGAATGGAGAATAGCATCTGCAGCACTGCGAAGCGATGGCTCTGCCACTAGCATTCATGTGAACCTCTCATCTGTGTGTTTCTGCTTCTTCCTCACAACAGCTTCCTCCTAATCAAGGAGATTCACCTGGGTTTAGCTATATGTTTTAATTGTATGTCTTATGGCAATGTTTTTAAAAATAACGCTTTGTTCTCACACCAAAGATAAGCACGTGAGATGGAAATCAGCGCAGTTATGCTGTGCTTTACCAGTGCCAGATTAAAGCCACAAGGGACAGCTCCAAGCATGTTATTTGACTCTGAGACAACATGGTACACTTCAGAAACACTGTCTGCTCACAGGCAGTTTAATCATGAACTGTGGGATGGGAAAAACCACTGTAGGTGTTCAAGTAAGTGGAGGAGTAACTGTGAGAGTCCCTGGAATTCTGTTTTCTCTGACTCATCTAAGGATACCTATACTTTTTACAAATGTCAGCTCTTCAAGATGCAAAGAAACTATTCAGTGCAAGGAAGAAATGAGAGCAAGATCAGGGACAGTCACCGTAAGACAGCACACCATGGAGGAATTGTTTGCTAATTAGAAAATCCCTTCTGGCAGCAAAACAGACACAGTTTAAATTCTTAGGTTCCGTGTATCAAACAAGGGTTAAAATAAATGGTACCAAGATACTTCCCTGCGAAGCTTAACTGCAGAACTCACAGTAAGGTGACTGCTGTAGTTAATTTTGTCTGTGTGGTAGTCACTGTGCACAAGGAACAGGGAAATGCTACCCAAGAGCACATGCACCTTTAAAAAATGCTTTGTCCAAATAAAAGCAAGCATTCGGAGAAGCGTGTACTTACCAGCTGCTGTTCTAAAGATGGGATGGAATCACGGTGGCCATAAATTATGCTCGGGTTATACTGACTGAAAAGAACAGGATAAAACACCTTCTTCCCTGGAAATGACAATGGGTTATTTTTTTTTTTTTTGAAGCTGCATAAAACACACTTCTCTCTCTTACAAGATGCTGTCCAGACCAGACCAAATCCAGACAATGTCACACAAGTTTTGTAGTGAGCCTATGGTCTTTGCATCAGAATGTGAATGTGAGGATATAATTAACAAAAAGATCCTGTTCCTGAAAGCATGGGTGCTGAGGGCAAGGAATCCAATCACAGCATGAACAGGACTGTTATAAACTTTCAAAAGCCAACCAACGACGGAATTTTTATACATGTCTTAATTAGGTCTCCAAGTTTCAAGAATGATTTACAGCAACTTCATTACCAATTCAAAGGCAAGAATACTCTGGTGAAGGCTGTTACACAATAGGTAAAAAACTGTCGAAAGACAATACACTTAATGAGTAGCAGTACCTGGTTGTGTGTTCAATCTACAGGAATTAAGGAATTCAGCTGTGAAGTATATGTCCACATCGCAAAAAAAGAGAACAACGTTGTTCCCTTTCCAAAACCGAGCACCAATGTCTAGTCCCTTGCCCCTGGAAAATTCTTCATTCAACTGGATGAAGGTGAAGTTCTTGAAGTTGGCTGACCTAGGAGAAGGAAAATATTCAGCAACTTACCCTGTCCTTTCAGCTCTTAATACAAGTGGGGGCAGGAACCCTATACGAAACAATTAACCTAGAAATCTGTAGTACCACAGTTCTGAGAGCAGTTTGAGGAAAGAGATGTCCTCTTTGAGTCTTGAGGAGATTTCCACTATGTCTACATTCAGAGTTTGACTTGTGTACTCCTGCGCTAGCATTACTGTCACAGACATTCTTTGGGCAGACCGCACAAAAATTCCAAAACGGCTTAGATGGACAAAAATATATTTAATAGGCAAATATAAAATACCTGTGGTCATACTACTGTATCTATACAAGGGTCTTCCTCCCACATGGAGAGTGCCACACTGCCACATGATCTTGACAAACACAGCTATGCAAGCAAACACAGTAGACTAGACCTGGCCAAAAGCATCTAATTCCTGTGCGCTCTACTGAAATTGTCTGCCCCTGCCTTTGGAAGTTAATTTTCAGTCCTAGCAGTTAGAGCCACTTGCAAAAGCACAAAAGTTACCAGTGTGAAAAAAAAAAAGCTGCACTGAGGTAAATTCAGTAAAATCTGCTTTGTGGTTCTAATAATCAACGTCACAAAACCACAGATATGGGACTGTCAGGGCAAAACCATTTTTACCTGATACAAAGGAAAGAAAGCTATTTTCTCCAATGCAGTTTAGAACTTTTTGGCACAACTACGAGTTTGGACAGCTATATCTAGTCTCAATTCATGGTACGATCGCTGTGCATGAATGGCACACATCAGATATTCAGGTACTTACTTGGAGGTATTTTCAAGTATCGATTTGACTTCATTCATTTGTTCTTTTCCAAAGTAAACTACAGTGAGGTGAATTCTCCCATCCTGCTG